ATTGCACTTGGAAAACTGGTGTTTATTCCATAGCTGGTATAGTATTGGGGACACATTTTATGGTTCTTCTTCTGTTATTTAACTTGTCGTTCACACTATAGGAAACAAATAGAAGGGAAGAGAAAAGCCAAATAGCCCTAAACCAGAGGAAAATAAATACTATTTAAAAAGATTCCCCAAAGAACAACAATGTATGCACCATAATTCTGAATAGAAACGAAATTTCAAGTGAGAAGCAGTGTGACAGAAATGAAACCTTCTTAGAAAAATAAAAGAAAAAGATTTTCCTTTCACTCAAGAGAGTTTCTTGTTGCTGAGCTGTAACTTCAATTCAAAACCACTGCCTCTACCTGGGCACTTGGATTTCTGCGTCACAGAATGTAAGAGAAGGGAGACAATCTCATAACTAGAACAAGGAGAAGATGCAAGTTTGCAAAAAATAAGTTCAATGTGGGCATGTTGAGTTCAGTATAGCTGTGGAATATCCAAGAGAAGATGTCCTCTTATCGGCAGTTGGGAAAATGAATTCAGAGCTTAGGAGAGAGATTTGCGCTAATAAAATAGATGTGAGAGGCATTAACATGTAATCAGTTTACAACTCAATTGCATGGCTTTTACTCTGGCTGTGCTCCTTTTCCCTGATTTGATGGTGCAGCTTACTTAAGACTTTGATATCTAAAGGGACCACATTCTCTCTTTTGACCTCCTTGCATCAGTGATGAATCAGGGATTATGGATGCCAAACAACAATGCTCAAATGTACTTTATTGTTCCTTGCCTGCCAAATCTACTGTCTGCTTTCCATGTGCCAAGCCGTGCGGTAAGTGCTCTTGATTCATTATCTCCACAATGACCCTATGAACTGGGTGAACTCTCCATTTCGTAAATGGGGAATAACAGAGGATCAGTGACTGACCCAGGGTCACAGCCAACGATAAGAATTTGCACTGGATTTGAACCAGGTCTACCTGATGCTATGGCCTTTGCTCTTCTCCACCAACCTGGGTTGCCTCCAAGTGCCTATGGCTGTTGACAGTTTGTTCTCTTCCTGAATACAATTGTTCTTTCTCTTTCTTTGATATATAAAAGACTTCTTTCAAAAGAGTCTAGAAACATATACAAAAGCATTAATAGTGATTATCTCTGCATGGGGAAATATGAATCATTTTTGTTTTCTTTTCCATACTTTGTACTTCCTGAATTTTATGAAATGGACAAATTTATTACTTTTTGTAACCAGAAACATAATGGCACTACTTTCATAACAGTGATGCTTTTTTTTCCATGCAGAGTATTACGGGTGAGCATTTAATGCAGTTTAACCATTGCTTCCCACCTCCTTAATCACATTAATGGGAATCCTTAAAAGCAGCATTATTGGTGATTATTTTGCTTGCATATGGTCTTAGCCAAAAGAACAAGAAGTGATGATTTTGCTTAAGACTCACATAAACACATTGGCTCCAGTACGAGGAACGTATATTGTGGTATCAAGACCTCAGTGAAGGTTTTCTTTTTTCCCCCAACTCCCCAGTTTACACAGTGTAACTACCGAGGTGCTAAGTATGCATGGCAAGGGGAACGGAAACCTTTGACATACATAAAAAGCACAGGAGATTTGGGGAAATTATGTTTTTAAGCAGAAGAGAGGAGAAATGAAAAGGTAAAGATAGGGAGCAGACTTTAAAAAAATTATTTATTTTTGGCTGTGTTGGGTCCTCATTGCTGCGTACGGGCTTTCTCTAGGTGCAGCGAGCGGGGGCTACTCTTTGTCGTGGTGCGCGGGGCTTCTCATTGCGGTGGTTTCTCTTGTTGCGGAGCGTGAGCTCTAGGCGCATGGGCTTCCGTAGTTGTGGCTCGCGGGCTCTAGAGCGCAAGCTCAGTAGTTGTGGCGCACGGGCGTAATTGCTCCGGGTCATGTGGGATCTTCCCACATCAGGGCTCAAACCTGTGTCCCCTGCTTTGGCAGGCGGATTCTTTACCACTGCACCACCAAGGAAGTCCAGGAGCAGACTTTTAACTGCTGTTCTTCTTGTACACGGGTATGTGTCAGTTCAGTTCCCCTTTGCTCTTCACTTAGCCATTGACACTTGTGCATTTAGCCTTAGTTCTCCACTAATATCAAATGCTGAGTTAGATTGGACTTGGGAGTTATATAGAATTATACCCTTAGGAAACAAAAACATTTCAGGACTGTGGAAGCAGGCATTAAATAATTACATTCAAAAGAAACACAGCAGAAAAGAAGCACACTTTTTAAAATTCTGTATTAAATTAAATTAATTCTCTGGTTGTCTGCAGTTTTGAATTGGCCTGTATTTAAGTTGCAGGCTTCTGATCAGAAGAAACCCAGTGTCTCTATACAAAGATATAAAGTTGCTTAATAAAGAATATTTGATTGCTGCTACATAATCCAGCCCCAAACTCATAGACGTATACATCTTTCTGACAGAACGAGTGGGAAAAAAAACACTGTTCCTCAGCTGTGCCTGTCCACCTTTTACTTTACAGAGCTTGCATGTTTCCGCCTCTGTATGCTCATCTTTCTGTGTGATGCGGCTGAGCGCTGCCCTAGGACCTTGAACCAGGGCTTGCGCATGCGCCCAGGGTACCTGAAAGGCACTGACATCGCTCCCCGACCCCCATCACGCGTCTGGGGGATTGCAGAGTGACTTACTGGGACACTGAAATCGTATCCAGGGTCCTGGTATTCATCCCGAGGAGATGGTCCTAAAGTTCGTTGTGGAAGCTCCATGTGCAAGGGTTACATCTTCTTTCCTCCCGTACTAGAATTTACCAGTAGGAAAAAGTAAGATTTGAAGAATAAGTTTAAACATTACTTGAAAAACCTGATGCTGGAGGCAAAATATGTAGTATTCCTTTGATAAAATCTGCTGGATGGGAAGCCCAGATATTTTAATTGAATGGCTATGAGTGGACCCTTAGAAATTTGAGTTGTAATGGATTTTAGTGGTCAACTGTGGTAAACTTCATTTTATAGATAAGTATTTATTCCTTTTCAATTGTGTTGGCCAGTAGAGCTATTAAGAGCCAAAATGTTATGGCTGATTCCTGAAATCATCTAGCTTGACTCCTGTTAGTAATGTAATTAAAGTGTCATCTCCCACCAAAAGAAATAGAATCTAAAGTAAAACAAAACAAAACAAATGAACAAAAGAATCAGGTAGCTGTGGTGATGATGCAGCTGTTTCTCTGAGATCTGTTTTTACACTTTCTTCATTATACATTATTTAGAACAGCATTGTACAATAGAAACTTAATGGAAGCCACATACGTTAATTTTAAATTTTCTAGTAGCTGCATTAAAAGTAAAAAGAAACAGGTGAAATTAATGATAATAATATATTTAATCCACTATATTCAGAATAATACCATTTCAACATACAATCAATGTAAAAATTATTAATGAGACATTTTGTATTCTATTTTTCTTACTCCTTGCTTTCAGTATATATTTAACACAGTACATCTCAAATCACACTAGCCACATTTCAAATGCCCAGTAGCCACATGTGGTTACCATGTTGGACAGTGCCGATTTAGAACATATTCCTTTAAACCTTAAAATTTTATGGAAACAGATACATTAAAGTAGAAAATAAAGATTTTAGAAAGAGTTCTTAATACTGTTAGATTACTAGGAAAAGGGATAAGTGTGTTGAAAATACTTAATAAATCAATGGAGTAAAATAGCTATCTGATGGTATTCTGCATTCCTTAAGTTACTAGAAAATATTGTAATAATAATTGCAAGTTGAAAATGAGGGAAAACTAGGACACAGCCCACTCTCAATCTACTTGAAATAGGTAAGTTTTCTATCAACAAACCTGCATGCCCACTATGGTTCTTGCAGAGTTACAAGGCAAAGGTTTCACAGGTGTCCTGGCTCTCTGGGGGCATTATTTTAGAGCTCTGGCTCTGAGTTTGAGAACTTGTAGAAACAGGTAGAATCCCCCCACAATGGAGCATTGCTATAGAAACTCTTTGAAAAGATTGTCATTGATTGCCTGAATTTTTGAGGACAACAAAAAGCAAAGAACAATTATAAATCGTCCATCTCAGGTGGATTCAATATAGAATTATTCAGGACAGGAATCTGTGAGATGTCTTCATTTCCTGAGACTTTACATGTAAAAATCTTTGTTTTAGCTCATTAAGTCAGGATAGGTTGTTTTTAGCTCAAATTTGTACTTAATTTGAAGTTTTAGAAAAAGAGTAGGGCTATAGTTTTTGTCATCTAGTCATGGCTCCCACTCTACCTGCCCTCATATTATCTTTTTCTTTTAATTTAAAAAATTTTTTTTAACATCTTTATTGGAGTATAATTGCTTTACAATGGTATGCTAGTTTCAGCTTCACAACAAAATGAATCAGTTATATATATACATATGTTCCCATATCTCTTCCCGCTTGCGTCTCCCTCCCTCCCACCCTCCCTATCCCACCCCTCCAGGCGGTCACTATGCGGCTGCTTCCCACTAGCTATCTACCTTACGTTTGGTAGTGTATATACGTCCATGCCTCTTTCTCGCTTTGTCACCGTTTACCCTTCCCCCTCCCCATAGCCTCAAGTCCTCATATTATCTTTAGTAGAAAAAACTTACCACCTGAAAGCTGTAAAATATGGTAGACAAATTGTTTTCTTTGGTAAAATGTTTCTAAAAAGTTGCAAAGTAACATTTTAGCCAGTAAAACCAGAAACCCCTTTCAGTCCCTTTTCTAAGATGTCTTTAAGTATATTGATTTTAAGAGGGGCAAAGTAAGGAAAAACGTTAAATTCTAGAACAACAGTTCCCTGCCCAGAGCCGTATAATTGCGGATGTTGTTGCTGTTTACATTATCAGTGGAGCGCAGTTCCCTTTCTCCCACTCCTGTCATGCAGACTTGAGGGAGTCAGTCTGAATTTCTTGCTTGCTCTTTCTTGGATTGATTTCTAAGAGATCTTTTCTCCGTTTTTTTTTTTTTTTTTTGGCACCAGGAATTAAATAGCTTTAATTACTTGGATCTGTACAGACTTGCTGACCTCTTTAACCTCACTTTGTTGGAGAAGGCAGTGATCGATTTCTTAGTGAAACATCTCTCTGAGCTCCTGAAGAGTCGCCCAGAAGACATTCTAACGCTCCCTTATTGTCTGCTTCAGGAGGTCCTGAAGAGCGACCGCCTGACCTCCTTGAGTGAACAGCAGATATGGCAGGTAAGGGCACTCTGCATGGGTCCTCTTTGGGCGTGAAGTCATGATTAAAAGGAATGATTAAATGTTAAAGGGTTGAGGAACGACGACAACTATTTTGTCTGGTTTGGTCCACATTGGAATCGAAGTCTTAGAAGTCAGTGTTCCGTGATGGGCAAGTAACTGGAGAACACCAGCCCTTGAGGCTTGAGGCCTCAGCCCACTCAGCTTAACTCAGGGAATCGCAGGTGAGATTCCTCACACCCTCACCGTGGTTTCCCAGAACCAAAGGTGGTTACATCAGAAAGAGTCAAGGGTTTTTATTCCCCTGCGAAACAGAGTTACTTAAACTGAATATGAGAAGGATGGATTGTTAAAGTGGTATTTATGCCTATTTAAGACCAATGGAATCAATAAATTCTGGGCTTTCCTGGAAACAATTCAGAAACATTTCTTTGTTGCAGCAGAGAGCAGCTGGGACCTTAAATGAGAGGAAGCTCTCCTCCCTTGACGGTGGAAAAATCTCCCTCCTTAGTTCATTCTGCATTCATTGCTATTTTCCGAAGCCCTGCTTTTTCACCTGACATAGCATTCTTTTCAGATACCCTTTGCCTAGGGGACAGGAGGATGTTTTGTGTTTTCAATTTGATTATTCAATTGAAATCCATTTCTGCTCATCCCCAGTGACTATCCTTGAACAATCCACACGGTGTCTTTGGGAAACAGTCAGAGCCCATCTTCCACTGCTTCTTATACTGTCTGTCTTACTCTGAAGCAGTGGCTAAGCCATACTGTTACTTCTAGGGTGCCATACTTTCAAGATTTCATGATCATTTGAAAAATATTTATATACAGAATACAAGGGAAAATATGAAGTCTTCTATTAGCTGATAAGGCAATAAATACCTTGTGTCTTATCAAATGACATTCAGAGAATACTTTAATTCTGGACAAAATGGAGTCATAGGTAGCTGTTAATTATCAGCATCTGATTCTACTGATTGCTAATTTTCCCAGTGCCTTTCTCCCTTATTTCTTTCTTTTTTTTTTTTTGCGGTAGGCGGGCCTCTCACTGTTGTGGCCTCTCCCGTTGCGGAGCACAGGTTCCAGACGCACAGGCTCAGCAGCCATGGCTCACGGGCCCAGCCGCTCCGCGGCATGTGGGATCTTCCCGGACCAGGGCACGAACCCGTGTCCCCTGCATCGGCAGGTGGACTCTCAACCACTGCGCCACCAGGGAAACCCCTCCCTTAGTTCTTTCTTTATCTTACTTTAATCAGCAACTTCCCTCTTCACTGTTGCTTACACCAGTGAGGATAATAAGGCCTGCAGTGTACTGAGGGCCTTTCAGGACCCGGGCTCTTTGCAGACTTATTAACTTATCATCACAACAGGCCTGAAGGATGGTTGTTATCATTCCATCCTCCAGACAAGCAAAACGAGGCTTCAGTGTCTTGCCTCAGGGTTACAGAGCAGAGCCAGCCTTCACATCCAGATTTGTTGACACCTGCCCTCATCTCTCCAGTATTCCACGCTGTCTTGAGAAGAAAATATCAGTGAAAAAATACAAGCCATAAATTATTTTCTGCTTCTTAGGTATTTCTCATAATGGTTGTTCAGGCAGAGGTCAAATGTGTTGGTGAAGGTGAGTTTTTGGTATGAATTTTAATTATCTATGGGAAATACAAATCATCAGAATTACTCTGGTCAGCTCAAAGTGAGGAACTGCCAAATTTTTCTTTCCTTCCCAAAGGGAAACACAAAGACTTAGAATGAATTCTGTATTTAATTAACCTGATTGAGATGTGAGCCAACCATCCTTGTGGCTTCTCTTCTTGTGGCACAGTTGAAGGCACTGCCCGATATCGACATGGTAATGTACAGATGTGTGAGTGGCCCAAAAATTCCATACTATTCACATAAGAGTTATCATAGGGCTTCCCTGGTGGTGCAGTGGTTGAGAGTCCGCCTGCCGATGCAGGGGACACGGGTTTGTGCCCCGGTCCGGGAAGATCCCACATGCTGCGGAGCGGCGGCGCCTGTGAGCCATGGCCGCTGAGCCTGCGCGTCCAGAGCCTGTGCTCCGCAACGGGAGAGGCCACAACAGTGAGAGGCCTGCGTACCGCAAAAAAAAAAAAAGAAAAAAGTTATCATAATTGCCTCTCTAAATATGTTACTAATTTTATAATGTAGAATTTCAAAAGATGCTTTCTGCTGTAGGCAATGTTTTTTTATACCTGGTCCTCAAGAAAGGATTAAAAAAGACTCACATAAATATTATCAATTTAGTCATTCAGCAGGCAATAAGAAACTTTTTGCTTTATCTTAGTAAATAAGTAATTCCCTCACACTCAACCCAATAGATAAAAATCAAATCAGTCCAGTTATATTGCTTCAAGTATAGTTAAGTTCATCATTTTTGCTGAGGTTATACTAGTAATGCAATATACCATGGAAGAATCTAATATGCAGCCCAGGGTGCAGATTGGGTATGCCAGAGGATTAGTGTCAGGGTGCTTTATAGAAGTGAAAGTTGATGGACAGGCTGGAGACAGATCTACAGAATCTCATTAAATTGCTGAATTGTTCATTACGGAACGTTCTCACTGTAATAAAGTGCTCATTGACTTTGACAAATCCCTATCCCATGTCTTAAAGAAGAACAGAAACAAGGGGTGTTGGGGAGAAAAATGGAAATTGGCACAAAGTAGGACAAGTAATAGAAAAGCGGATGGAGGGGTAGTGCTGTTTGATTATGTGCAACTGGTAACTTATGTGAGAATGCAGCAAACATACACACACACATCTACTCATGTGGCTCCTCCACTATCTAATCTACTGATAATGTAATCTGAGATATTCCCTTTATCTGGCAAAAGGCCCAATATTTTACTATTCACCAGACTTCATGCAGTTTGGCTCTAAAGATGTGTCATAAGAACCATCAAGTTATCCCCAGGGAACAAACTTTTTTTTTTTTTTTTTACTTTTTCCTGCTGTCTCTTATCCAGTCCCTTTCCTGCTAAAATGTGCTGCAGTCCATGATAACCATTCTGTGGATTTGGAAACCTATGAAATCCCCCAAGATCGTGCTTTTTGTCTCCTCTTTTTTTCCATCTGACCTTTTAAAACTTTATCTTGTGTCCTCTCTCACAGAAGCCTTCTTCAGGCCCCCTAGACATTTTTTTTCTCCCTTCCATAGCCTGAAACTACTTGGTCTAATTCGTTAACTTCACTTTATATTCACAGGTAATGTAGATACTGCCCCATATACACACTTTTTTTTTTAACATCTTTATTGGAGTATAATTGCTTTACAGTGTTGTTTCTGCTGTATAAGAAAGTGAATCAACTGTACGTATACATATTCTCTCACTTCGTCCCAGCTTACCCTTCCCCCTCCCCATGTCCTCAAGTCTGTTCTCTGCGTCTGCGTCTTTATTTCTGTCCTGCCTCTAGGTTCTTCAGAACCATTTTTTTTTTTTTTAGATTCCATATATATGTGTTAGCATACGGTATTTGTTTTTCTCTTTCTGACTTACTTCACTCTGTATGACAGACTCTAGGTCCATCTACCTCACTACAAATAACTCAGTTTCATTTCTTTGTATGGCTGAAGTAATATTCCATTGTATATATGTGCCACATCTTCTTTATCCATTCATCTGTAGATAGACACTTAGGTTGCTTCCATGTCCTGGCTATTGTAAATAGTGCTGCAGTGAACATTGTGGTACATGTCTCTTTTTGAATTATGGTTTTCTCAGGGTATATGCCCAGTAGTGGGATTGCTGCGTCATATGGTAGTTCTATTTTTAGCTTTTTAAGGAACTCCATACTGTTCTCCATAGCATATACACACTTTGGATATATAAGGACAGAGAAGTCCCCTCAAAAAATCCTTTTTTAAAAAAGTTCAGTTCGATTCAGCTCAACAGTTTGGTCTTAGGGTTCAAGGCCAGCAATTTCTCAGGTTGCAGATGAAAGACACTAAATTGGTTATTGGGCTCAATAAGAGGAGACTAAAAAATGAGCAAATCAGCCGAGGAAGAAACATGGGGCATGAGGTCACTGGCATCCGTGACCTGGCAAATCTCCACTGTTGTATTTTGCTTTTGGGTTTTAGCTTTGACTTGGGATTTGGTTTCAACAGGGCCCTGTTAAATTTCTCTTGTTAGATTCAACGTATATTTTCAGACTACTGAGCCAGGGGGTACTGCTCTAAAACTTAGAGTGAAATCATGAAACAGTTCCATACCACTCCCACATATTAGGTCTGTTTTCATTTCACAGGAAGTGCTGGCTAATCTGTTTTTTCTCAGGAAAGTACATTCTCCGCCTTTTATATCTCAGGTTCTCCTTTCCGAGAATGAGGAGGAGATTACTTTCCATGAGAGTACAGTTTGTAGAAAAACCTGAATATAATGTAAATTCTTATATTTGCTAGCATAGGGAGAAAGTGTGGCTGTCCATCCATCAGTATTTATTGAGCACCTACTAAATGCCCCAAACCACGGAATGTAAGGCAGGGTACAGGTGAGCTAACTCCATTTCCCTCTCCAGGTCTAACCCCAATTGGGAGGGATCCTTCTGATTTTAAACCATTGTCTAGCTCTCTGGATTATTACTTCATCTCTGAAGAAGCAGAAACAAGAAGGACACTTAAAAATGGATAGTTTGTGGAAGTACAAATGGGTATTATGCTGGGCACAGTGTTAGAAGCTAGATTCTGGGGTAAAAAGCTTTATAAAAGTGTTCAATTATTAGGTTAAAGAGATTTATCTTAACTTTATTTCTGAATGTGGAGTTTTATTTACCTTTAATTATTAATCTATTAACTGCTTCCTACTTTTAGTGAAGAGGACTTATCTTACTTTAAAAAATTAATTAAAAATTAATTAATTTTTGGCTGCATTGGGTCTTTGTTGCTGTGCGTGGGCTTTCTCTAGTTGCGGTGAGCGGGGGCTACTCTTCGTTGCTGTGCGTGGGCTTCTCATTGTGGTGGCTTCTCGTTGTAGAGCACG